GTCGCGCGAGCGCCGCGGCGAGGACCTCGTTCTCTCTTCGCCGGCGCAGCGGGTGCGGTTTTTGTTGCACGTCATCTAAGTTATTATTCCGCTATGCCTACTCTCCGGGACTTTCACTCTCCCTCTCTCCCCCCTATTTCTCTCTCCGTCTCTCGTTTTTTTTCCCCCCCGGTTCGCTCCTTGTATTCTGATATCAGGCGGTGTCTGTCTGCTTTCCGCGGTTGCTTCGTTAGTTTCACCGGCGTTTGATTACGCGGCCGTATAGCCGGAAGGCCAAATGTTTAATTTCTTTCTTTCTCTTTGCACGGGCCGGCGGGTCTCGTCGCGATGAATGGCAGCATAAGAAATAGTAAAGGTACGTTTGCACAGGCAAACACGCGAGAAAGCACGCCCCCTGACACAAATATCCAGTGCACGTGCAAGCCCGGCCCGGCCCGGCCGGGCGGAGCCCAGAGTGTTGGTCTTTTGTAATTTCTTTCGCCGGCTTTTTAGTTTTACGCCCGCGACTGCTGCCTCCTCTTTATTCCCCCCTACCCTCCACCTCGTTCTCTGTACTCCCTTTTGCTACTTTGCCGCCGCAGCGCCGGAATAATGCGTACACCGCCGCGTAAAACCCGAGAACCGCCCAGCGCGAGGCGTTCGAGCGGCCCGAAACGCGTTTAAAAGATCGGCTATTTTTTTTCTCTCCGTCCTCTTGCCGCGGGCGCCGAAAGTTATTGTTCCGAGCAACAATGCCGAGCCGATTGTCCCGGATCGATCGAAATTCGACGGACTCGCCGGCCGCGTGCCGCGACTCGTAAAATTCTGCGACAATGATTCTCGCAGGCCCCGGCGAAGCGAGGCTTTGCAACATGTTTCGTTAATCGACCGGCTCGATAATTCGGACACGATCGACGTGGTACCGGCGGATTTGTTTAATTAAAGCTTCTACGGTGGCTGTAACGACATCTGGGGAGCGCTTGCGGAAGGACAATTCGAAGCGCAGAGCTTCGCCGGCGATGCCGCGGCAACGTTCGCGGAGCTCTGTCTGAGAATGTTGCAATGCAATTCTGCGATAGCACGTTCCACGCGTCGGTCGCGTTAATTAGCAATGCGTTCTACTCCGCGAATCGGAGACGGGTCTGTGGACAAGCTTCGCCCTTGTTCGTTTATTTTCGAGCGCGCCGAGCCGCGCCATTTAAAAATCCAATTAGCCGGGAACTGCGAGACCTGGCTCTCCGTCGTTTCGTTCGTTTGTTAATACGATTTCGAAGCTTTCGATTTACGCTAAGTTATCGTAATTAAGAAGAATTTCTCGAGATATTGAAACGAGTTTGAAAAGCGATTAATCCCTTAACTTGTACGCTCGAGTTAATTCGAGGGCGCTAAACAGGATAAACTGTGCACACTCGTGATAATTCGAGCGGCGTTGTATTCTATGCTGCTATAATTTTTCACACTGGGATATAATCGAGAATTGAAAATAACAATGTGAAAGCGAAGAAAAAAAATCGTTTTTTTGATATTTATCATTTACATGGGATTGTAAGCTATAACACTTATATCATAACCTGCGTTATATTATAATATAACCTGCACCTTGCTTCGAAATATATATCACACGAAAGAAAATTTTGAGTAATTTTTATAAGTATAAATTTAGAAGTATAAATAAATATCTTTACTGATAAAAATATGTTTTTTCCGAAATAGCGATTCGAAAAGAAAGACACAAAAGTCGATGTACGTGCAACATTGCAATATTCGGCTCTTTTCTGCAATGTGGATCGAAATCCAAAATTAAAATAAAAATTTTGATTATTCTTATATTTCTTAAATTATTATTTTATTTATTATTCAATTTATTTATTTAATTTATTATTCTTTTCAGTTACAACCATTTTTGTGAGTCAACGTACGCGCCGCGTTCTCCTTCGGTTTTTACCGGCTCGTTCCCCCGTTCCCGCGAACGGAGCCGGCACCCCCTTAATGTCACGGTTAAATGGCAGAAACGAAGGAAAATTGCGGGATCGCCGAGGAAAGCGGAACGAACGTGTTCGCGGGAACGTAACGGGTCGCGCCGGTAAATAAGTAATGTCGCGAAGAAAGTGCACCGCCGATGGAGTTTCATTTCAGCCGCGGCCCGGGAGAGAAAAACAGGAGCCGGACAACGATCGCGCGCGCTCTGCGGCGATGGCCGGATTGCGGTGTGGTAAAGAATACAAATAGTTCTATTATTTCGTGAACAAAGACCGGTCCCTGTATGGGGTTCGAATCTGGATCGGGCGCCTTATCAAAAATAAAAGCTGTCGTCCGGCACCGATAGAACGTGGGGCAACTAAGAAACTGAAGAACGAACCGCACCCTGCAGACGTGCTTTATTCGCTCCAAGATATTGGTCTCTCGTCTCGGCGTCAAAGAACCAGCCGGTCTTGCTTTCGAAACAGAGATTAAGAGGAAACGCAGTTGCCACTGATAATACGAAGGTTGCAGTTTCACGGATTTATACGCCGATTGTGCGTTTGTTATCAATTTCCAAATGGTTCTAGGATCGAACGGATTACACGACTTTAGAACGCAGTGAATTGTCCTTAATATGGATGATGATTCTCCTTAATGGACGATTTTGGACGAGGAGATACGATGGTATTATACTGTTATTAAGATAATTATATTGTTAATTATACTGTTGTAAAGATATACGAGTATATGGTTATAATATATAGGGTGTTCCAAAAATGTCTCGCAATCCGAAAGTGGCGGGTTCCTCAGGTCATTTGAAGCAACTTTTTCCTTTACAAAAATTTTCTCCGAGGCATCGTTAACGAGTTATTAACGAAAAACGGTGACCAATGAGAGGCGAGCTCAACTGACGCTAGGCGGCCGAGCCAACAGCGCCAGCGGTCGAGCGGTCCAATCCCAGTTCCGCTGATTGGCTCGGTCGCCTCGCGCCAGCTGAACTCGCCTCTCACTGGTTACTGTTTTTCGTTAATAACTCGTTAACGGTGCCTCGGAGAAAATTTTTGTAAAGGAAAAAGTTGCTTCAAATGACCTGAGGAACCCGCCACTTTCGGATTGCGAGACATTTGTCGGACACCCTGTACATATATATTACAATATAATATATAATATATATTTTACATAATAATATAATTAAAAAATATATTAATAATATAATATATATTATAATATAATATAATATAATATATTATATTTTTTCTTTTATATGATATCGTCGGTAACTATAAAAACAAGTCGCAAGGCTCGAATAATTCGCATCTCCTCTCCCCAAATTACCCATTTTTGTGCACAATCTAAGCGCCAATTGCGGAGAATTTTCTGTACCGCGAAAAAAATCTAGTACAAGAACCGAAATTATAATTGCTTAATAAATGCGAATTTGGATTAAATAAGTGAACGTGGATATGATAACTGTCCATTCTCTAGGATAACATCAATAGTTTGCTTCAATCAAGCACACAGATCACGAATGTTATACGATTTACGCAGATCTATTTATTGCCTATTATCTATATCCGTCGATTTTTTCTCTACTTCTGTGGATGGCTTCGAACGTTCCATCATTTCGGTAATTAAGGATACTTCGAAATCTTAACTGCATCTATAAACACATTCGAAAATCATTATTCTGGTTCCCTTGTTCCTATTTTTCTGAAATTTCTTTCTCTCTTTGCAAAATCTTGTTTACTCTACTTTTTCGTCCTTTTGTATTATTGAATTAATATTGACGTCAATTAATGATCACTGTAACGATCTCGTCGTATATAATATTCATAATTTGTTTGTAATGCAAAAAGTTTTTGAGTTGTTGAGTCAGTTCAATCGCTTATGCTTCTGTTTATTGTTCCTGATCGACGATCAGCTTCTTAATTTTACGGAACGCGGATTACCGCGAGAAACGTGCGGCGAAAGTTTTATCGTGGCAAGGTTCGCGAGGAAATGGACGAAGGGCGATCGTACTTTGTCATGCAGATTTATTTGCTCATATGGTCATGGGTATACAATAATTGTAATCTAAAACTCTGCGTATAAATATCGTCGGCCGTCGAGTGGCCGTTAGGCTGGTAGAATTAGCATCGTTACTCAGTGCCAGTCAGTAAATTCATAGGAGTCAGAGTGTAGCCGGATTTATTGTGGTTTTACGGACAGTAGTGATTGGTACAGCGACGTTCACGAGCGGCACACGGTCGCTGTCGAGACGGTTTAGTCAGATATCTACAGTGATGAGCAAAACTGAGATTGCGCGTTCACGAGATAATGTTAGTTTAATCTTACTTCGAGATACAAGAAAGTCTAACAAAATCAAGAAATGTATCAACATCGTATATTTGAAATGAAATTATGCTTATTTACATAGAAGTAAATGGTAATAAATTAAGATATAATAATTTAAGAAGTAATAAATTAAATAAATAAACTCAGAATAGTTGAGCTATAAATAAAATAATAATAATAATAATAATAATAATATAATAATAATATATAATAATAATATAATAAAAATAATAAAAATAATAAAAATAATAATATAATAATAATAATAATAATAATAATAATATATAATATATATATAATATAATAATAATATAAATTAATACATTTTTCATTACCGTGGAAAATCGATGGAACGAAAGTAAGCCAGTGCGTATACTACTCCTATTCGTACAGCTTACAATTATTTATATTACAATTTCGTAGATCTGGAATAAACGAACGTATTTCCAAAAAAAAAAAATGGTTAAACGTGTGGGTCCAGTTTCGCTCGTCACTGCGCGTGCTGGCGTCAAGCAGTGCTGGGGTAAAATAGTGTTTCGAAATAAAAAATAGAAATATCTTTAAAGTGTGTTCTCCTAACGTGTTCGTTACATTGGTTAATTCGAAATAATCATTTAATTCTACATGTATGTATATGCAATATCGTATCTTCAATTACATCTTATTTTCACTTTCATATCGATGGAAATACTATTTGAAATATTCATTTTGACTCTACATGTATGTATATGAAATATGTATTTTATTGTATGTATATTATCATCTGTTCGAAATGTGTACGTTGCTAAAGGCGAACAGCCGAAATAAACGAATACGTTTCTTTTTTTTTTTAACATATATTAAACGAAAATTGAGTGAATCGTTTAAATCGATCTTCGTTCCTCGAAGATACGCCTCGTTTTGATTGTTGTAGATAATTACATCCGTTTCCTCTGCGCGCTGTATGCATTTAGTCGCTTCCTTCTTTTCTCTCTTTTTCTTTCTTTTATATTTATAGTAACCTTTAAAAAATAATATTTCAGGTGACCATCCGTTGCAAAGTTTTGGCAGCGTGAGAAATATTAATTGAAATAATGATATCCTCGTTTATACCCAAACGTTTTTATTTCAAACAGTCGTTTCTGGTACATTTCGAAGAAAAAAAAGAAATATCATTTCGAACAAGCGTTTTTCTAACATACATCTTACAAAATATATTATTTCAATTAATAATTCGAACTCATATATACGTAACACACAGATTTTTCAATTCCGGTATATGTTAAACTGCGAAACGAAAGAGATCTCGAGATATTGTCTTATTTAAATGAAAGGTATTTCAAATTACTATTTTCAATACTTTTCTTTTATTTGCAGTTCAATCGGCTCTGGTGCCAAGACCGTAATCTCGGATAGCGTTCTGAATGTGAACATCGAGCGGAAGATTTACATCGGCGTCCTTGTGCTTGTAATCGTTCAGGAAGTAAGACGACTCGACGTCCGTCGGAAACTCCTTCGGCAAGAACTCTTTACTCCGTGGTTCCAGCTCGAATCCTGACGAGGGATACTTCAACGATCTGCGATAAACAAACGTCACCGTAAGTATACAATTTCAGTTTATTATTATTATTACTATTATTATTATTACTATTATTATTATTACTATTACTATTATTACTATTATTATTATTACTATTATTATTATTACTATTACTATTATTACTATTATTATTATTATTACTATTATTATTATTACTACTATTATTATTATTACTACTATTATTATTATTACTATTATTATTATCCACAGTTCGTTAAATTATATCGCTACAAAAGTTTCTCTTATTATCTTCTTCTATCCGCAATACAAATACAAGGGATTCTATAATTATGTTAACACTCGGAATGGGGTGATTCCTGAGGCCATTTCAAGTAACTTTTTCCTTTACAAAAATTTTCTCCGCCGCTTCGTTTACGAGTTATTAACGAAAAACACTCACCAATGAGAGGCTAGCTCGCGCAGCGCAAAGCGACCGAGCCAATCAACGGAACTAGGCTTCGTCCGCTCGACCGCCTCGCGTCAGCCGTTCTCGCCTCTCATTGGTCAGTGTTTTTCGTTGATAACTCGTAAACGATGCCTCGGAGAACATTTTTGTAAAGGAAAAAAGTTACTTGAAATGACCTCAGGAATCACCCCTTTCCGGGTGTAGCTCGTTTATTATAGTCGTTGACAATCCGTTAACTATAAAAACGAGCTACAAGGCTCGAATAATCGTATCTACTCTTCCCAAACTGTCCACTTTTGTGCGCAATCTGAGCGTCAGTTAGGGAGACATTACTATAGTGACAACAGTTTGTTGGGGCGATTACTTACTCGTAAGTCGTTGGACTGACGTGAATGCGAAGAGGTTCGCTCAGGGATTCGAATTTATTCGCTAAGGTAACATTGTGCCCGAACAGGCAATATCTGGGCATTTTCTTCCCGACAACGCCCGCTAACACCATTCCAGTGTGAATGCCAATCCGCATCTAACAAAACAATGCATAGATTATCACAAAGTCTTTCCATTAGATTCGAGTAATCGCGAAGCATTTAGGAAGCAAAGTTGTATCAGAAAATTACTATAAACAAGCCATTTTAACAGTTTGTCTGTCACGGTAATAATCTAAAAAGTTTTCATAAAATTGAAGTATTTTGTTAAAATGAGATTAAAATTGAAAAGTTGAATCGTATAACGTAAACTACTTTCTCAATATTCTTATGTTCTGCAGATGCTAATAAATTTAGTATGATATAACAGATCTGGCCTGGGTAAAAATATTTCAATTACAAAATAATATTTAAAAAATAATATTAAAATATTTGCAAATACCGTTTCTGTCCATTGTGTTACATATGCTTCACTTGCAATAGCAACTTATTTCTGCATTAAATGAAATACTAGCTTTGAAATGCTTAATTGATTTTACAAGCATATAATAAATATTTAAAATATAAATTTTGCAACGCGATCCCGAAATACTTGATCGAAATAAATATTTTCTTCTTTCTGCGTGAAATGAAACACTTGTACATCACTTCCACAAAATTTCGCCGACATTTCTGCGAGCATGTCGTGACATTTGTGTTTACATTTGTGATACGTATTGTTTGAGATACGCACATTGTCATAGGCAAACAGATGATAAACGTTCCAATTACACTCATTGATTAACAGATACATAAAAGCAGTTTATTTTTCTGCGTTTGCACTTTTTCCACAGGTTTACTCTCTCGTAAGCATTCTAATCGTAAGAAATAGAATTCCAAATAATTAATTAGATTATATTAAGATTATATTAATAGAGAGAGAGAGAGATTATATTTAGATTATATTTTAATTATATCAAGTACACCTTACGAAAATACCATTCGAATTAATCATTTTCTCTACCGCGATCAAAATAACTATTTTCGAATGTCGAATAAATCTTGAAATATTGTTTCATACGAACAAGTGTTTCAAATATTTTGATACCCAGGTTTACAATGGATCGGCGTGAAACTTAATCTCCAAATCTGAACAAACAATTCCGTCACTCGTATACGCGCGACGCGGCGGTCGAAGTCTTTGCGATGCAATTAAAAATGAAATTAGCAAACAGAGTTCACTTCATTCGTACCCTTATCGGCTTGCCCTCGTGGGTCATGTGATGCGAACAGGCTTGTATCATTTTCAGGGCCATCCAAGCTATTTGCTGCGCGTGTATGAAGGTGTCGCGATGAAGGCCGCAGGCAACGCAGTAAGCATCTCCGATCGTCTCCACCTGCGGTGATCGTCGGATGGAAAGTTCGTAAGTAGCATAAATCTCATTGTACGCGAATCGTCGTGAAATAAGTTCCTTTTGTTATTCTAACGTGTTCGGCGAGCATCGAGCAACGGACGCGCCTCGATTTCCATTGATTTGCATTCGCATTTTCGTTCACGGTGCCACGGCGACTCGCGATTACTTTAGCATAAACATTTACATTTAAACAGTTCGCACCTTGTACACGTCCAGCTGTCCGCAAAACGAATCGAACTGCTCGTAAAGATTTTGAAGCATATTGATGACGTTCATTGGCGTCGCCGTTGAACAAATCTCCGTGAAGCCGACGATGTCGCTGAACAGCATGGTCACGTCCTGGTATATTTTCGCTTCTATGGTTTCACCTGGGGGGAAAAAAAGTTATTATTGTTAACGTTCGAATGATCGGAGAGTGATGCGAGAATATTTCTGAGCGACGTACCTAACCAGAGGCGTTTCGCTATGTCCGGAGGGAATATAAGATGAAGCAAACTGACGTTTTTCTCCCTTTCAGCGGACACGAGCAGGCTCGCTTCTTCTATGGAGCTCTTCAATTTGTCCATCCTCCGTCTCAGACCGTCCTGCAACAGCAAATATTACAATAATATACATTATTATATATTATATATTATAATATACATTATTATATATTATATATTATAATATATATTATAATATACATTATTATTACAATAATATACAGTGTGCAAGTTTCAAGAGAGGCGTCGATAAACATGAAAAATTAAAAGTTAAGTATTGGCGGATTTTTCATCAACTCTTCGATAGCAATGGTACATACAGTAATGTCTCTCTAATTGACGCTCAAATCGCCCACAAAAATGGACAATTTTTGGGAGAGGAGACACGATTATTCGAGCCCTGCGGTTCATTTTTATAGTCACGGATTGTCAACAATTATAAAAACGAGCTGCAAGGTTCGAATAATCGTATCTCCTCTTCCTTGTATTACGATTTTTAAAACTGCAGATTTCGGTCAATATCGTGACGAAACAGCGGAAGACATTTTTTAAATTTTCATTATAGGATAAAAAAGTTAAGAAACGAGAGATTTTTATTTTCTTGTAATTCCAAGTGATAACAAAATTAAAAAGGAAAGCATTTCACTCGCCGTCTAGTAGACTAGACTAATGTGGACTAATGATCCATTTTTGTGCACAATTTGAGCGTCAGTTTGGGAGACATTACTGTACTATACCAGATTTTCTACGTAGTTGCAACGATTAGAAGTTTTTCGATTGTAATAATTTTTAAGAAGAAAAGAGACAATTTATATTTATTTGTATACCTGCATTTAGTCGAACGCTTGAATATCGATGCCAAGAGACAGAATTTTATTTCGTCTTAAAAGAACGGAATAATATTTATGCTTAACAGATTTTTCCTAGAAATCTCTGTCGCGTGTCAGACTCGTTAAAATATAGCAAGGGGTTAATTATTCTTTCTTGGAATTGCCATTTAAGGGACGATTAAAAGAGATCGTAACTATCAATGTTATTTCAGTGTTAAATGATCAGTGAAATAATTCAAATCGAACTGAAAACGATCAAAATATTTCAGTATAGAAAATCAAGTATTGAATGCATTAATTAAATTGCTATTTTTAAAATGAATTCCCAAAGCGTGTTTAGACGATAAACACGTTCGAAATTGAACCGCTGATTCAGCGCTGGTGCCACCTAGATCGTACTCTCTGTATGCTAGCGACATCTACGCCGAGGAACTGGCTCGGTAATGCAGGAAAACGTGATTGAAAATTGACCATATAGTAGGTTCGAAATAATTGTCGATTAATATAATTCGAAGCATTTATGAAAATTACGAATAACACGTATTCCATCGCGAATCGGGACTAGCTGGTTTAAAATCTCTTTGACTTTCGTCGATATTTATAGCGTGCATTCATCGATCGAATGCGCTGGTACATGGATTCGATAAATATAAATTTAACGACGTTATAATGGGATGCAAATGCAGTTTTACCTGTGCTCTCGCTTGTTCCCCCACCAAAATCACCTCTCTCGTGGCATCGTATAATGGAATATCGGATATAAAAAGTCCTCGGCCAGTCAGTCCTTCCAGACCGTTCAGGAACGGCGAGCTCACGAACAGGATGGAATCCGATTCGGGACAATGAACCATCTGACCCTTCATCTCTAGGCCCTGGAACGATTGAAACGATTGAAATGCCATCGGTAGAAAAATTCAGGGGACGCGCGACGACGATACATATACGAGAAGAAATATTTTTTATATGATATATGCATGTAATATTTATATGATTTATATAATATATAATAATATACATGATATATTTATTTATAATTTATATAATATATAAATATTATATAATATGTATAACATTTAAATATTATATAATTTATGTAATATAACCTTTTACTTTTCACTTTAATTTCACTTTAATCGTTTCCGAAAAATGTTCTCGTGACTGAATTTTCGTTGGCTTGAAAATTGAAAAAATATAATAATAATAATATATATAAATATAAATAATACTAAATAATAATTATAAATAATAATATACGTAAATATAATAATATACATAATATATTTATATATAATTTATATAATATAAGCTTCTACCTTCCGCTTTAATTTCACTTTAATCATTTCCGAAAAATGTTCTCGTAACTGAATTTTTGTTGGCTCGAAAACTGAAAAAATTTCCGGCACAAGGACCACCCTAAAACTCGATTTATTTCAGCTGCTTTTTGGAGCGCTGCAAGCTCTCATATATTATCTCACATTTTACATCGTTGCAACGTAATTTTCATTCGAGGCACAACGTAGTATATCATTATACCGCGGCTTTTATGCATTTATAATAAAAATGAGTACTTGAAACACGAAACAGTGACTCTGTTAGAGTAAGAATTCACCAAATTTGATCATGTAATTTACAACCGATTAGAATTACATTCAAAACAGTAGAATAAATGTCTACGAATTTCGTGTTTATTGCAATCGTGTTTATTGCGTTTCTTCTGATTTTTTGCACGTACTTCGATCGGTGGTCCAATAATCGCAAATACACGTGGTTGTCGAAGAAGTTTTCGCTGATCGATGCGACATAGCAAACGAGCAACGGCTATGCCATTCGAAATTTAATCAGAGCGTTCGTAATTACTTACGTTGACCAATTACATTAAGTTTGTAATGAACTGTGTTAACGCACCTCCGCGGGATACTTATCGACGCCCTGCGGTTTCTGCAGGGTCAGGACAAAAGGTGTGTTCGCACGCTTCAATATCTCGCGGAACGACAGGGTAACGCTGCGCGGCCGTGTGAGCGCGAAGTACGTCGATATCTTTCGGCCAAGCCGGTTCAGGTGCTGCCCGAAAATCTTCATGAATCCGACCCCGAGCTGCACCAGCTCCAATTGCCGGTCGACGACGAAATGCCATGGAAACGCTTTGCAGAAGCTGGCGACCCCCATGGGAAAGTCTGTGGCCTTGGTCGAGTGTGGACGGAAAGTAGACGACGCGCTTGTCTCGACGCTGTCATGGTCGAGCTCCCAATCGACTGTTGGGCGCTTGTTATAGTGCTCGGGAACGATGTGGAACCTGCGAAACGATCATGCCGTGGTTATACTTGAATCATCGCCTACAGGGCGTTTCATAACTATTTATAGTAATTATTATATAATTTATATATATAATTATATATAATTATTATATTATTATTATAATTTCATTATATTTTATTTATTAATTATTATTTATTATTTTATATTTATTATAATTATTATAATATTATATATATAATTTATAACAATTATTTGTTTTATTATATAACACCCGGAAAGGGACGATTCCCGAGGTGATTTGAAGTAACTTTTTCCTTAGCGAAATCGTAATTCGCGGCTTCGTTTACGAGATATTAACGAAAAACGCTGACCAATCGGAGAACGAGCGCGGCCGGCGCTCCGCCCTAGCGGCCAATGCCGCGTCGCGCCGGCCATCCGACGCAGCATCAGGGCGGGGCGCCAGTCGCACGCGATCTCTCATTGGTAACCGTTTTTCGTTAATAACTCGTAAACGAAGCTACGGATCGCATTTTCGCTGAGGAGAAAGTTACTTCGAATCACCTCAGGAATCCCCCCTCGGATGTTAACATAATTATGGGACACTCTGTACAGTCCAGGAAGCAATGAAAGAAAGAACAACTTCGTTTCCAAGATAGTTATCGTTTCTCATACGCCACGAGCTATTTTTAGAAAACACAAGGCTTGCGAGTTCCTCGTTCGAATGCGAATGAACGAAACACGTCGCGAAGCGTTCCATTAGTTCGTCCCTGCAAGTTTACTTCAAAATCCAATGACAATCCGATCCAACGCAAAGACAGGTCGCTGTCCCTTCAGCAAGGTCCAAATAAGAGTTCGATATTCGCGGATCTGCTGACGGAACGAGTTGTCAAATCCGACGAAACGATCGGAAAGGCGTTCCGCGCCGCGAGATTCTTTCGTGCCCTCTTTCGAACAAGAGGGAAGTTGAATTAGGCGAACACTATTTATCCGCTTTGTCGAGTCTTCATCAACGGCTCGTCGGAGTCGCTGTTCGTGAGTTATGAGTGCGTTCGCTCGACGGAAACAACGGCGAAGCTGTTCGGTATATCGGATTATGCGCGTCTCATTAACAAGCTGGTTCTTTTTTTCGGGGAAACTTTTAATTGATACGAACTCGCGAAAATAATCCAATTAAGAGAGTTAGCCACCGGCAACCGGGGCAGGAGGAGAGTCGTCGACGGATTCCTTCCGAACGGTAATGTGTAATGGTTCGGCCGACTGAAATCAGCGCGCGAGCGTGTTCGATGCAAATGCCGGCGAACATCGCCGATCAATATTTGTTCGGCCGCAGTCTCATGGCCCTCTCGCTACTTTTTCCCGTGTAAATTGAATTCCGCTCTTGTAACAGAATGTCGACAGGTACGCCGGTATCGATCCCGCCTGCAAATACTAAACATTGTTCTTTTTCCTGCGAAACAGGCTTTTTTTCTCCCCCTCCGTAATCCGTTCGAATCTCGCACGAGTCGATCGACGTATGTATGTACGGTAATGTCTCCCTTACTGACGCTCAGATTGTCCACTAAAATGGATAATTTGGGAAGAGGAGCTACGATTATTCGAGTCTTGCGGTTCGTTTTTATAGTCAAGGTTATGTCAAAGTTGCGTCAAAGTTATGCAAGGCTCGAATAATCGTATCTTCTCTTCCCAAATTGTCCATTTTGCTGCGCAATCAAACGAGCGTCAGTAAGGGAGACATTACTGTATTAGCAGCGCGTTTCTTTTGATCGTCTGCCGCGTGAAGTCTGATCGAGGCGAACTAGCGAATCTTCAAGATTCCTGTTCTTCATTACTGTCAATTGTGATTAAGAGAGGAATGCGATAAATTGCCTTTCACGTGTACGAATGTACAGTAAATTCTCCCTAATCGGCGCTTAGATTACTATGCTACTATAGAGACTATCACTATTATTATTATTAATACTATATTAATATTATTATTGTTAATACTATATTATTATTATTATTAATACTATATTCTTCTTCTTCTGATTAATATTATTATTATTACTATTATATTATTATATTATTATTATTATTAGACAATAGACTATTTGAGCGTTGCAGTAATAATAATATTAATAATAATAACAATAATAATAATAATATCATTAATATAGTATTAATAATAATAATAGTAATAGTCTCTATATTAGTATAGTATAGTAATATGTCTCTTGCTCTCAAATTGTCCATTTTGTCTCCACTTCCGAAATTCCATTTTTCCCATCATTTTCGTTCATAATCAGAGCGCCAATTAGGAAGAATTTACTATAAGAATTGCGTAAGAATTGCGAAGGAATTGTGTAAGAACTGTTCTCGGAGACAAACGAGAGATGATCTAGGAAGAACAAACGACGTTCAAGTCTTACCTATATTCGTCCTCCTTGTATCGGCTGCCGCTGATGGTCACGGACGCGTTGTCGTTATAAAACTTTCTGGCGATGCCCTTCAAGCTGCCAATGAGCAAGTAGGCGCGAGACTGGTGGTGCGTTGTGAAATCAAGCACTATAGCTTCCGGCGTGGTGTTGCATACGAACGCTGCCTCCACTTCTGATCCGGACTGGTGTTGTACAACGTCGTTTACACCGTCGAGCGTGGTCAGGAAGGCTGTCAGATCGTTCCCGAGGCAACGGAATGCTCGCTCGATCAGACCCTCGCAAGCGGTGTAGATCAATTGCTGGCCGAGCTCATCGAACAGTCTAAAGTTGTCTACGTCTGAAATCATTTCGCCGCGATTAAATCACAGCGCGCCTGCTTACGAGATCTTACAGCAGGATCTTATCTCGAACGCTTTCGTTCGACTACGGTCAATTCGCTGCGTTACAGCAAATTGTACATTTTTTTTTAAGAAAAAGAGTTGTTTCTCTTTCACGTAAATCGAGCGAAATTACTGTTCGATTGACTCAATGATTTCTCTGGAATTTCTGTCGAACGCTTTCGCTCGACTACAGTAAATTCGCTACGTTACAGTAAATTGTCGAATTTTTTTTTTTAATAAAGAGAGTTGTTTTTCTTTCACGCAAATCGTGCGAAATTACTTTTCGATTAACTGTAACAATGATTTCTCTGGAATTTCTGTCGATCGCTTTCGCTCGGTTACAGTAAATTCGCTACGTTATAGCAAATTGTCCATTTTTTAAAAATAAAAAGAGTTGTTTCTCTTTCACGTAAATCGAGCGAAATTACTTTTCGATTGACTCAATGATTTCTCTGGAATTTCTGTCACCTCTGACTCTACCCTACGACAATTCACAAAGAAGCTATGCTCACCGTGAAAATATTAAAAAGAAAAGAATTTGAAACGCGGTTCAACTTTCGATTCGAGGTATCGTTTGTAATCGTAAGGAATCTGGTACAAGCAATCATTGAATAAACTAATTCAGTAGAACTTAGATCGTTCGAGTTAAGCAGAGTGGCACAAATTTTCGACTAATGCAGTAAATTCTCTCCGATTATCTTTCAGCTTTTAGACAAAAATTGCCGATCGTCGACAATTATAAGAACGAGGCGCTGTCTTGCTATTAAAACGTGGGTCGGTCAACTATCAACCGGATTTTGTATAGTACAGCTATAAACGCCCTTATCTGCTTGAAACTTCGCGATGGTTCGCAAGTAATTAAATCTTAGAATGGATCTTGAGCGAAACGACGAGCAGAGCAAGCAAACGGAATTATCACGAACTGGAACAATAGTCAGCCTGTCACGTATAACTGGTTGTACAACCGGATGGGAGCTGTTTGTACGTCAGAAAGTAAGTCGATAAGTCGAAAATACGAGAATAAATTTTGTTCTTTCGCAACTTTGCTTTCAGGACTTCGTATTTTGCTATTGTTCAAATGGATTCGTGGAATTGCAGTAATTTCTCCCTAATTCGCGCTCAGATTGTGCACAAAAATGGACAATTCGGAAAGAGGAGATACGATTATTCGATAGCCTTGCAACTCGTTTTTATAATTGTTGACAATTCGTGACTATAAAATTGAACTGCGGGGCTCGAATAATCGTGTCTCCTCTCCCCAAATTGCCCAATTTTTTTGGACAATCTGAGCGTCAATTTGGGAAGAGGAGATACGATTATTCGAGCCTTACAACTCGTTTTTATAGTTGTTGACAATCGGTAGCTATAAAAACGAGACGCAAGGCTCGAATAATCGTGTCTCCTCTTCCCAAATTGTTCATTTTTTGTACGAAATCCGAGCGCTAATTAGGGAGAAATTATTCTACTCTTCTAGAATCGTGAAAAATTCGCAAATTATAGACTCAGCCTCTGAACTTTCGACTTTCCGAGCATAACTGCAGCTTCTCCACAGTCAAGGTATTTTCCTTGACACCGGTAACCCGATGATTTTCCACTTTGCAGCTTGATCGATCGTATCCATGATTCACGGCCGCGCTGGAAAATACGTGGCGGCTTCCGAAAAGCGGTCGAATCCGCTTCCGAAATCTCAGCGATTTCTTTATAAATATCATTCTGCCGGGCTTTTGATATCGGCTCGATTCGGTGGGCCCGCAATTATTTTTCAACGAAAGGGAACCGATAAAAGAGAAACCGCAACTATAATACGTTTCGTTTCGGTCTCTCTCGTTGGACCGAGTCGTTGGTTGGCTGCGTTGAATGGAATCGTAATTCTGCTGACGGGGGAGTCGGCGAACATTTTCCCGTCTCTCTCTCTCTCTCTCTCTCTCTCTCTCTCTCTCTCTCTCTTTCGGGCCTGCGGATCGGGGAAAAAAGGGAGTCGGATGCAAATTCCAATCGTTACGGGAGAGTTACTAATCTCCGACTGTTCCGCTCCCGCGGGTTTCGGAAAGTTGAACGTTGCGTGCTCCGATCTTCGCTTCGAATCTGGGACGGTCACCCCGTGCAAGTTTAACGTTGCCTAGCTTCGAGCTTAATCGGAGGTTCGCTGCAACGGAAAACTTGGTCACGGGCTTGTTCTGAATAACAGATCGATGCGCACGCAATTTCGGTTCTCCACAGATGATTTCGTGTAATTAGGAATTAGAGGAGATATCAGTGGAAAATACTATCGTATCGTGTTTGTAGATCTCGCGCATTTAGAACGCTCGTGATCGTTAAAAACACTATAACATTATATTATAATATTATTATAATATAATATAATAATATAATAACATAATATATATAATATAATAATATAATATAATATAATATATATATATAATAATATTATTATAATATTATAATACTTAATTAATATTATGTTTTCAACGAGATCACGAGCGTTCTAAATGCGCGAAATCTACAAACACGATACGGTAGTATCGTAGTATCGAAGCAGTAATCACATATTACATGTTAGTGTAATGTTACATCATATTATAATATAATGTAACATTACACTAACATGTAATATGTGATTACTGCTTCGATTTCGATTTCATTTACGACTCGATGAAGTACCGGTGGTTCAGAGTTTGGCGGAAAGTAACCTGATTAACGATCAACGATTATAACACGTTAGTTGTTACGAACTGTTGTAAAATAATTAGCAGAGATTATTGTAAATTAATTAGAATACATTATCGAAAAATTAATTAGAGTAGATTATCGTAAACTAATTACAATAAATTATTACAAGTTAGTTGTAACGACTAACGAATCATGTATACTCAATAATTATTAATCAAATTGCTTTTTGCCCAACTCCGACCCAACGCACTTTATCGAGTCTCTCGTCGCTGATTTGTAATAATTCGTAACAACCGACGAGTTAAAATCGTTGACCATTAATCAGAATATCTAGTTGAACCGCGTCCTAAACATTTCAATTTGCCAAAAGAGTCGCGCGACGTCGCAACGTCCGACGAGCATCGTCCGAGGAATGATGCAATTCCACAGAAATTCGCGGAACCAAAGTTCTACGATGAATGAAATGAAATTCTATTCTTGTTAATTAACAGGGCCTTTTTCTGCACGGCCACTCGTCGCCGAAGTTCGGGGAAGTTGGTCGCGTCACTTAGAAGGTTACCGGTGCCTCGATCGCCGATGAAATTTAATTAACGCTCGAAACTTTCGGCCGACTAAAGAGGACAGCGACAGCCGGACCGGGGACCGTCTGTGTCTTAACGCTTCCACGACCGCGCCGGAAACCTAAAAAATTTCGTCAAATTAAAGTGTTTCATTCAGTTAAATAAAAATTACGAAGCAAATTTATATGACGTCGATAACTTTTTTGACACTCGTACCTCTTGTAAATCTTGATAAAATTAAGCAGTCATTTTTAACCCTTTCGCTACTATGGGCCACTATAGTGGCCCTCCATAAGACGTCACTGAGGTACTACAGGTCACTATAGTGGCCCTCCATAAGATGCATTATACAGGGTATCCCAAAAATATCTCGCAATCCGAAAGTAGTGGATTCCTGAGGTCATTTGAAGCAACTTTTTCCTTAGCGAAAATGCAATCCGCGGCTTCGTTTACGAGTTATTAACGAAAAACAGTGACCAATCAGAGGCGAGATCATTTGGCGCGAGACAGCCGAGCCAATGAGCGGAACTGGGCTCCGCGCACTCGTTGGCTAGGCCGCGGCGCGCCAGCCGAGCTCGCCTCTTATTGGTCAGTGTTTTTCGTTGATAACTCGTAAACGAAGCCTCGGAGAAAATTTTCGCAAAGGAAAAAGTTGCTTCAAATGACCTCAGGAACCTCTCATTTCCGGATTGCGAGACATTTTCGGGACACTCTGTATTGCATAATGTTATTTCCTCTTATACTGTAAATTAAAGGGCGCATGCTAAGACGTTACAAATACCCTGGAATACCCTTTATTTATAAATACCCTTCGGAGACAAATTTTTTCGTTCGAAAACATTTGCAAGCAGCTTGGATTCTCCGCCGCGGTACTCCCGCTGACGAACGGCGTCGCGTAGCGTGCAGCGATGTCGCGGCGCTTCTTTCAGCGGAAGTGCCGCGGCGGAGAATCCGCCCGTAGCGAAGGGGTTAATTAGACGTGGACAATTTCCTCCGTCGGGCATCAATCGACTGAATTTAAAATTACCAATTCGGTTGGCTAAGTGTTAAGCTTTCGCGTTCAAGACAGAAAATCGCGAGCTCCGCCACGATTTTCCAGGAACGGATTATTGAATAACCTAGCCGGCACTTCGAATCCCAGCGCGATGTTTCCCGCAGTTGTTTCGTCTAGCCGCCTGGAAATGAGCCCGGCGACGAATTCTGCTCGGCGCGTCGAAACGTTTCGCGGAACGGCGGGCGAAAGTTTCCACGGTCCTCCATCGAGCCCGGCTCTGCGGTCGATAGACGACCGATAGATTCGAATCGAAGGTTAGCTCCCTTGCAGATCCGGAAATCGACGCGACCGGCTGCGGGTTGTTCTAATGCCGGCGCGCATTATTTCCTACCCGAATGTCACTATCAGGACGCGATAATCAATAGGCGGCCTGTACGCGGCCTGTACAATGCGTCCAGTCAACCGTCTGGGACATCGTTCGATGTTTCTGTGACGGCCCGCCAAATCAGCCGGTAAACGTTGACAAATCGATGGCCCATCGCCACCCGAGTCTCTCTCCCTCTCTCTCTCGTTCGTCGCATATCGCCTATCGTCTATCTAGCCACGGACCATCGGCGGCCGAGCAGCCACGGCTGCCGGGATAAATCTAGCTGAAAATACAGCGAAGATCGAAAAATCTTGAAATAGATTCTATGATACGATCATCGACGGATCACTTGTTGCCGCCGGC